AACGTGGTGAGCGTTGAATGGATGGACAAATAGATGAATAGGCTGAGTGGATTGGGATGAATAAATGATAGGATATATGGGTGGATGAGAGGATGGATGATTAGATGGATAGATGGAAGGATGGATGGAAGGAAGGATGGACGGATGGGTCTGAATGTATGTTAATCAGACATCACGTGAACAAGGGTCTCGTGATGCAATGCTTCTCTCTGACTGTCAACTATTACACAGATACAGTAAGGATGATTGTTATACACAATATCTGTCGAGCCAGAATCGCATACCCCCAGTGTGTACGAACACTTACCATCTCGGTAGCCAAAACGAGTTATGTACACTGTATACAGGAAGTGCGTTCAAACACTATCACGAGATTATTCCACACAGGACAGTGCATCCATATGTAACGGGAAAGAATGGATGGATGAATGAAAGTTTGTATGAATAGGGGAGAGAGTTGAAGGGAGGAGAGACAGCGAGAGAGATTGAGAGAGAGAGAGGAGAAGGGAAGGGAAGAGAGAAGAGGGGAAAGAGAAAGGGAAGAAGAGTGAGGAGAGGAAAGACCAGAGCTAACTAGGTAGATAAACAGAGGGAGGGGAGAGAGACATGAAGAGAAAGAGAGAGAGAGAGAGAGAGAGAGAGAGAGAGAGAGAGAGAGAGAGAGAGAGATGCCCACTAGCATCCAAGCATATTTTGTAATTTTAAGCAGCCGACAACATTATATGTCAAGACCTAGGGGATAACTCTCATAGTTAGAGATTATCGTGAACCTCAGAAACTAACCTACAACGTGGGATGGGCGTGGGTCGCGTGGGAGGGGGGTATGGGTGCGTACGGAGGCATTAGTTATTTAGATGAAACTATGTTGGGTGTTAAGGCCTAGTGGTGAGAGGTTACCCATCAAATAGATAAGTCGGTTTTCTCAAGTTTTCCTATGTCGATCGTCAGATGAGCAGGATCTCATGGCCGTGACCTGAATGTCAGCCGTACCGCGATGGTCAGCGCTGTTGAAATGGGTAGAAACTGGTCTGGCTGTTTGGTTGGTGATGTCATGAAGGTGCTGGCGAAACCTGTCGGCTAAGCGAAGACCGGTTTCTCCGATGTACTTGATGTTGCACGGTTTGCAGATGATAGCATGGATGACGTTCCTACTAGTGCAGTTGAATTCCTCTTTGATGCTAAAGGTGCCTTTAGGAAAAGTCACATCTGAAGTATTCAGTATGTATGGGCAGGTGTTGCACTGAGATCTAAGGCAAGCCTTAGTTCCCGGATGTGAATTCCAGTGAAATGTGACTAAAAAGCCCAACGAAATGGGGAAGCAGAAAAAACGTGCACAAAACAACACCAGTAACATTTCGGTCGGCAGTTTTGTCAAACATGAAGTGAACTTTTTTTCATTTTTAACAGTGTACAGGGCTTTGGAAAATTAATTATCAATGTCAAAAAGTACTGTGAAAAAATAATTTCTTTTCTAAATTTGGAAAAAAAAATGTAGCACAGAAACAACGCATTAAAATGGATAACGAAGAGATTGAAAATGTCAAAGATGTTAAATTTTGGGCTCATTAGTGAACAGTTAAAGTGACTACAAAAGAAGTGGGAAAATATTTGCCTTAGCAATTCAGAGGCTAAACGGCAGGAAGAACCAATGACACAGCACCTGCAGACGGGATAGAGTAGAAACTTTAAGATCGTGCATCTTTCCCGTGGCAACTTATGGTTGTAAATTATGGACGTTTACAGTCACTGAAGACAAAAATCGGACCTTTTTAACTGAAATGCTACGGAACAATTCTTAGAATG